TGGGTTTTAGGCCTTTTGGGGTAGAACCGGTCTTGGGTCATTTGACCTACAGGACATTTGACCTACAATACCTACAACGTTAAATATTTACAAAGTTTAGATTTTTGACACACCCCCTAACTTCTCGTAGACCTAATGTATTTCTATGGGGTTTTCGATGTTTTTGGACACCCCCTAACTTCTCGAAGAGATAATGTATTTCAATGGAGATTTCGATGTTTTTTAACAACCTTTACCCATTCGTGGGGATGCCAACTCCATAAGGGGAGTTGGTGTTCTACGACAGAATTTGGGTTTCCCTTTCTCTTCAAAATGTTCGTCACTTCAGAAAATCCAGATTGGCGGATAAATTCTGTCGTAGAAACACCAACTCCCCTTATGGAGTTGGCATTCTTACGGGGAAACCCCAATTCTGTAGTAAATGCAAAAAACCCGATTTCAATCCGATATTCCGTTGTAGAGTTGTCTTGGTAGTAAAAGTTTAATAGCGACATTGTAGGTCAAATCAACTGTAGGTCAAATCAAGGCAGGTCAAATCAACATTTGTAGGTCAAATCAACTGTAGGTCAAATCAACTGTAGGTCAAAGCAACGTAGGTCAAATCAACAACTCCCCTTTTCGGGTTTAGGCCTTTTAGGGTAGAACCCTTTACAAGATAGGGGGTGTGTCTAAAAACATCGAAATCTCAATAGAAATACATTAAATCAATGAGAAGGTAGGGGCTGTCAAAAAGCATCGAAATCCCCATAGAAATATATTAAGTCTAAGAGAAGTTAAGGGTTGTGTCCAAAAACATCGAAATCCATATAGGAAACCTTTAATGTTGAGTCTTGGGGGTTAAAATGTAAAAAACCCGATTTCAATCCGATATACCGTTGTAAAGATAAGTTTTTGCCGTGAAATCAAAAAATAATTAAAATACATTATTCCTAAGTAGGTCAAATGTCCCGTAGATCAAATGTCCCATTGTAGGTCAAACGTCCCGTAGATCAAATGTCATGTAGGTCAAATGTCCCATTGTAGGTCAAACGTCCCGTAGATCAAATGTCCTGTAGGTCAATTGTCCCATTGTAGGTCAAATGACCGAACACCAAGTTTATGTCAGTAAAACTCATTAAGTGCAAATATAGTACAGAAATTAATTTATTATGAAACATTAGAATTAATAAAATAAAAATACACAGTTAAGTACTTGTACTGTTACAATCTGTTTAAAATATTGTCAAGCATTCTTGAATGTTTAATTACCGTATAAATATTCAGTAATATGTAATGAAATGTATACTTCCCTTTACTCTCATATAAAATGTATGTTATTAATTGGGAGTCAACTATTACTCACATGAGTTGCATTAAAATCAATACCTTATAAAATGCACTTGATAGATCTTTGGTATTTTTATACTCAACAGAAAATACTTTAAAATTATAAAATAAAGATAACCAAAATTAAATCAAAATTAATCTCATATTTAATATTCATTTTCATATTTTTGTTCTGAATATAACAAACAAATCAATGTAATAATCATTACATCTTTTGTATTAACAAAAATAATTCATTCATTCTTGTAATACCGTATAATATAAGTTATTATTATTGATTGTATGGGTGCACACAAGTGCAGTCTTTTATATCCGAATTTCTCTTATTAGCAATTTTTTATATCCGGGTATTTTCATTATACAGATATTTTGCCACAAGAGTTTTGGACACTATTAAAATTTGATCATTATAATTGTACGCGCATATTATAACTAAAAATTAAAAAACATAACAAAAATGTATTAAATTGTGGGGTGGTCAGTTCTGGGTCAAAATTTTGTATACGTACTTATTGAATGACCCCTAGGTATCTTTTAAATTAGAATTGATTTAAAATCTAGTAATTAATGAATTAACAAATTCAAATGCTGTTAAACAATAACAAAAAGTTTCATTCAATGTTAGACTAATTAGTTGTTAACAAGTTAGTTTTATTTATTTATATGTATTTATTAAAACTTTTTTAATATACTGACAATAAAATATTCATCATTTTCACATAACATTTATTTTATTTTAGAAATTTTTATTTTTAATTTAATACTAAATACAATTATTAAATTGTCAATATAATTCATTGAAATAGGAATGGATTTTAAATACAAATATTATTTCCCATGTCCAATACTAGAATGCACTAGCTTGTTGGTGGACTTTGAAACTGTACCAGTACATGTTTTTGTTTACTGTTATGTTTAAAGGTTTCAAATTGAAACCAAATCACAGTCATATGTGCTGGGCTATTGTTTGACTGTGTAGTGTTGTGATCATTTAAAAGCCATTTACTTAATCAAAGTTTACACACCATTATAAATGCATTGAAACAGTGCTATAGTAATGACTAAATTAAAAGTTTTAGTCGATTTGAATGGCTATGAAAACTATAGCATAGCTGTTGAATGCAGTGATCATAGCATTGCATTCAATGCGGTCTACAATGAGATCATTAAACACATCAAACATCACATCTCTTACGACACCCATGTGTTTGAGGTATGCATTCAATGCACCAAAAGTTGTTGAAAAAGTTTTTAAACTAATTATTGATGTGTTTTTCAATTGACAGATATATGACACCGATTTCCGTGAATACTGTGTCATAACGAGTGATAAGTATTTGATTGAAAACTTGTCGCGAATTAGAGTCAGAAGTAAAGCAAACAATGCTTTGAATCACAAATCAATTACTCATACATTCAATGGTAATACCAATGAAACGGTGGTTAAAGACAATAACATTCTTCACGAGAGAAATCAGCGATCAGTTGATAATAATGTGATGACTGATAGGCACCGGAATGCCAGCACCAGTACCATAGCTAGCAGTGCGAGTGCTTTGGAGGCTACCGGTGCTGAATGTAGTGATAATAAACTGAACACAAGAATTGAATGCAATTATGGCTTAAATCTGAACACAAATAGCAATACCAGTCATAACGGAGAGAATATTCTTGTGGCACAAGAATTGCCACAAAACTCGACACAAACTTCTGTCACTAAACCGCCGCTAAAAATGACACAAAAAGTTGTCAATAAATCCAAAGAAGATAATCAAAGCACAGCTAATGAAGGCATTCCTCAGCAGTTCATTAACCAATGTCTGCCCGACGTGTTAGGGCTCACCACTTATAAAGTGAAACAAAACTTTGAGAAAATTGTCTTAAATGTGGACTATTTTATGAAAAATGCTCACAACATGTCTAATAGGGATCAAGTATTGGACACTAATAAGGATCAGGTATCGCATTCTAATGCTGACGAAGACCTGGCAACTTCATTAGCACCGGGTACTCATCCATCGACTCCTATCAACTACTTGGACATTGAGTTGAACACCGACTTCACCACAAACTCCAGTTCCAAACATCTTCCTTATATCACATACACAGCTAAAGTTGGTGACCAATGGGTGGTTGCTATGAGATATAGTCAGGGTGAGCACAGGGCGGCTACTAGACTAATACAAGTATATGAGACACATATAAGCGATTGTGAAAACACAGACTTCAGGGATAATGTGGTCAAACATATGGAAAAGAGTGGATTCAAAGAGTGGGATTACAACATGTGTTTGAATTATTTCTATAATGCATTGTTTTTGTATCAAAAGGTATTTTATATTTAAGTAATACTGTACCGTAGTAAAATGTAATAAAATTTGTAATATTTTTACAGACTATAGCTAACTGTCCGAATGTGGAGACGGCGGCTATAGTTAATCCACTATTTAATGCAATGCATAGATTTGTGCCAAACTTTTTAAACACCCCTAAAAGAAATGCAAACTTAAACAGAATGACTGCTAAGAAGTCGTCTGAATTGAATTCATTGAGACAAACATTTGTACAGAAATGCAGTGATTGTCACACAACTGTTATCAACTCGATTTCAACTACAAGCCATACTGTTGACACTGCCGGTGCTGTGGGCACAAGTAGTTCATCAATTAGTGTACAAAATGGGCCTAAAATTAACTCATCGTATGTTTTAAATCATTAGTAAATTTACATTAATTAATAAGTATTTATGTATTACAGGGAAGTGGTAAAGGACTCGACGGGTGATCAGAAATGTAATGCTATTCCAACACTTAATACGAGTTCAGTGATAGCACCGGGCGATAGTGAATACAATCCCATTGACTATTTGGGACTAACAGTTAACTCTAACTTTACTCTAAACGCCTGTTCCCGACATTTGTCATATAAGACATATACTTTCAAACTGGGACGGGTATGGTTCAGAGCCATTGTTTATAATTTCCCTGATCATATAGCTGTCATGAAATTGCTGTCATTACTGGACAAACATCGAAACAATGGTCAGCCGATGGAAGAGGGGAACTGGAAATTAATGTCCATAAAAATGCCTCACAATAAAAGTACACATTTTACACCAAAAGCGTGTCGTAATCTATTTAATAATGCATTGGATTTGTATAAAAAGGTTTGAATTTTAATATCAATTTACGATATTAGTTACTAAGACAAGTGAAAATAAATTTTCAGACACTGATTATGTGTCCAAACACGGAGAGGGCCGGTATTGTGAACCCCCTGTTCTATTCGCTGCATATGTTTGATATGGAGTTTATTATACCGACCCATGAATACAATGAAATCAAAAGTTTGCGGCAAAAGTTTGGCCAAACAATTACGACAACTACAACATCAAAGTCAGCAATTATAAGCGCACCGGTGTCTATTGTTCAACAAAAGTCGCCCAGTAGTGTCACTTCGAGCACATCACAAAGTGATCCGGCTATTGTAAAGTCTGGTCCCAAAATCTTACCTCTATTTCCTATCAGTGCCATACAAACGGTGCCATTGGGTGCCACTGGAGGGAAAGCAGTCCAACAAACTGTGCCCAAACAAACTATTGGGAGTAAAGTAGCCCAAAAGGACCCGGTTATCAATAATGATTTACACGAACTGCGTGTAAAGTCGGCCAAAATAAGTGAATCAGATTTACTGACATTTAAAACTCTGTGCGATTGTGTGGACACAACTGTCCGCGAGTTGGGCTCATTTGCGGACAATCCTAAAACGTTTTGGTCGTTCGTGTCGATTATGATGTGTGAAAGGGGTTACAAGTTTGATACAAACACCTGTAGCTTTATGTTCAACGACAGCGTTTTAAAATACTATAAAATTGTATGCATTTTACTTTATATTTCAGATAGAGAATAATTTGAATGGCTTAAAATTGATACCGGTATTAAATTTTGTTTGAATAGGCGTTAAAACATTTGCGGAAATATACGGAAGCGGTTAAAGTGTACCCATTCTTCTCATTAATACATGACATGGATTTGAGTAAAACATTATCGCAAACAGCGTATGAAAGGATTAAACCATTGAAAGATAAGTTTAAAAATTAAGTGTTTTGTAAGTGTTTATGATAATTGCAAATAGGACTACAAATTTAAATTAATTACAAAACAATAATCTGTAAACAGTATTCATTCTGTACCCTTAAAAGACTTGTTTAAAAACTAATTTGTTTGCCATATAATCATTTAATGCAATAAAACTTTAAATTGATTACTAAATCATCCATGACAATTCTTCATTCAATTCACTTATTTCGTTAATTTTAAGAGAAAATAATTGTGATCCTGATGATTTCGCAAGCGTATTCAACAATAAGCTGTCACTGATTATAAAAGTTTTAGATGAGTTCATTGTACGCGTGTTTATTATCAGGGTCATCAAAGTTTGCAAACTTTCAAAACATGTGTTTGATTTCAGCGTAAACTTTAGCACGTGTTATGAAATTGTGGTTTATTTTTGAAAAAACACTTTCAATGTCTTAAATGACAACATGTCTCACAATCACACGGATCCAGTCGTGGACACCAATCACAAGTGCCAACACATGTCCAACCCATTAGCACCGGGCTCTCACCCGTCGGTTCCCATCAACTACTTGGACATTGAGTTGAACACCGACTTCACCACAACCTCCAGTTGCCGACACCTGTCTTACATCACATACACCGCCAAAGTGCAGAACCAATGGGTGGTTGCCATGAGATATCTGGAGGAAGAGAACCGGGCGGTCAACGCATTGATTCAGTTCTTTGCCACACATTCCAGCAATTATGACACCAATGAGTTCAGGGATAATGCGGTCAAACATATGGCCGACAATGGATTCAATGATTGCGATTACAAGAAGTGTTTGAAATACTTCTCAAATGCTTTGAATTTGTATAAAATGGTATTCATTTGTAGTCTCTCTCTCTCTCTCTCTCTCTCTCTCTCTCTCTCTCTCTAAAATCTTTGACACCAATTGTTTGCAGACTCTGGCGAAGTGTCCGAACGGATCAATGGCTCAGACAGTGAACCCACTGTTTGACACAATGGATGCATTTGTTCCCATGTTTTCAATGAACATGAAATACTTGACAGAATTGACTTCTTTGAGGGAACGCTTCGCACAGAAATGCCATCGAATTGACTCATCACTGACTCCACGAGAAGAGAAGATAATGACCACTAAATTGAAGGCCAACATCATCACTGAATCAGATAATAATAATAGTAGTGGTGGTGATATTATAACTCATCATTTAAATGATATGATGTCAGCACCGGGTGATAGTGAATACAATCCCATTGACTACTTAAGACTACCCGTGAACCCAGACTTCTGTTCAAACCTCAGTTCCCCGCGTATGTCGTATAAGACAATACTTGTCAAAACGGGTGACCTATGGCTTAGAGGCGTCGCCATCGCAGATACACACCAAATGGCTGTCAATAAATTGTTGTCTCTGTTGGACAGACACCGAGTGAATGATGGGCTCATGAATGAGGGGAACTGGACTTTAGTATCCACACAAATGCGACGATACAAGAGATGTGTTGATTATAAGTCACAAGTTTGTCGACGACTTCTCAATAATGCTTTGGATTTGTATAAAAAGGTATGAATTTTATTATTTTATTTTACTGTACAGTATTTTTAGTAAACTTATTGTATTTTAATTTAGACACTGATTGCCTGTCCAAACACTGAGAGCGCCGGTATAGTGTATCCCCTGTTCTATACCCTCCATGCGTTTAATTTGGATTCAATTATACCGATCACTGAATTGAATGAAATTAAGACTTTGCGCCAAATATTTGCCCAAACCTTTGACACAAGTTGTGACACAAGTGGTGACACAAAGGCCGTACAGTTGGCCCAAAATGATATCGTTTGTAGTGAAGAAAAGCTCGATCCTAAGGGCATCGTTGGGAAAGTCGTTCAAAACAATTTAGCCTTCAATGATGAGGTTAACGAGTTGTACATCAAGTCATTCAGAATTACTGAAAAATGTTTACAAACTTTCAAAACTCTGTGCTATTGCGTGGAAACCACTGTCCGAGAGTTTGGATGTTTTTCTGACAATCCGCACACGTTTTGGTCATTTGTGTCGATCCTGATGTGGGAAAGAGGTTACCATGACTTTGACTCCAAGAAGTGCTGGATGTGGATCAATGACTATGTTTGCAAATACTATAAAACAGTTTGTATTTTATTTTATATATATATTATGTGTGTGTGTGTGTGTGAGAGAG